GAGGTGGAGGTTGCAATGAGCCGAGATTGTGCCACTGCACTCCAGCCTGGGTGACAAAGTGAGACTCTGTCTCAAAAAAAAAAAAGAGAAAAAAAGAAAAAAAAAAGAAAATCAACTAGAGGCAGCTATGAAATAACTTAGCTCTCTCAGAAAAGGAAGCACACATTTAAGAATAAAATAAACTTGGGATGGCATACCAGGCACATTCTTCTTTTTAGTGATATGTTCCGTTAATTTCCTGGAGGGTGTTCTCACTCTCACATAGGCGGTGTAGTGGCCTCCTCTCATCGAGCCACTATGTTCCACTATGCCATAGAGACCGTAGAGAACTTTATCTCCCATGCTTGCGTTCTTTTAAATAAAGAAAAAACCCAAATTAGTAATATTTGTTAAATACTGTTGTAAGGAAAGTAACTAAATGTGTATCTGCTTAACATAAGAAAAATGCATAGTAAAACTGAGATACTTTCTATACCTATTAGGCTGGCAAAACTGAAAAGGTTCTCTGTTGGCTGGTGTGTGGGGACAAGGAAACTCAGACATATTGCATATGGGAATGCAAAGGGTATAATCCCTATGCAGAGATATTTATTTATTTATTTATTTATTTATTTATTTATTTATTTTTTTTTTGTGATAGAGTCTCGCTCTGTCACCCAGGCTAGAGTGCAATGGCATAATCTTGGCTTGCTGCAAACTCTGCCTCCTGGGTTCCAGCGATTCTCCTGCCTCAGCCTCCCAAGTAGCTGGGATTACAGGCGTGAGCCACCGTGCCCAGCTTTTTTTAATATTTTTAGTAGAGACAGGGTTTCACCATCTTGGTCAGGCTGGTCTTGAACTCTTGACCTCAGGTGATCCACCTGCCTTGGCCTCCCAATGTGTTGGGATTAAAGGCGTGAGCCACCGTACCCAGCCTATGCAGGGGTATTTCATGTTATCAGGCTAAGTTGTGTATGTATTACTCTTGGATTCATTAATCCTTTTTCTAGGATTTGATCCCAGAAATACATGAGCAAAATGTTAAAAGACATGTATCACACTATTAATTATAGGATTATCTCTAATATCAAAAGACTGGAATTAAAATGTCTATAAATTGGGGACTGGTTGAATAAACTATGATGTATCCACAAAATAGAGTATTATGCTACTTGAAAAATGGAGTGCAGACTATCTCTAAATGCTGCTATGGAATAAGCTCTAGGGTATAATGTTAAGAATAAGGAAGAAAAAAGGATACATAGTGTCAGCTACCATTATTTAATAGGGTAGATGAAAATATACATGCCTATCTGCCTATATATATATATATTTTTTTTTTTTTGAAACAGGGTCTCCCTGTGTTGCCCAGGCTGGAGTGTAGTGACATGATTTCGGCTCACTGCAACCTCCACCTCCCAAGTTCAAGCGATTCTCCTGCTTCAGCCTCCCAAGTAGTTGGGATTACAGGTGCCTGCCACTACGCCTGGCTAATTTTTGTATTTCTAGCACAGACAGAGTTTCACGATGTTAGTCAGGCTGGTCTCGAACTCCTGACCTCAGGTGATCCACCCGCCTCGGCCTCCCAAAGTGCTGGGATTACAGGCGGGAGCCACTGCGCTCGGCCTATCTGCTTATATTTTAAAAAGAAATGATAAAAGAATAAGCCGTAAGTTTTAAAATGGTTACCTATAAGGGGAAGAAGCAAATAGGTAGAATGACATGGAGAAAAGCCAGAGATCTTTGAATTTACCTTATTTAGGTACATTTGACTTTGGACCTATACAAATATTTTATATAATTATTAAATTTTAGAAGAAATTCCAAAAATAAAAATTAAAAATTGCACGAAGGAACAATTGATCCAGTCCTTATCTGGATACTAATTCATTCTAAAAATCACATTTATGAGACAATTGAAAATATGAACACTAGATGACAGAATTATTAAATGATATGACAATTATGTTAAAAAGTATAGAGGAAACAATTCTTATCTTTTAGAGATACATAGTGAAATATTTATGGATGAAATTATGCCTGATGTTTGCTTGAAAATAATAAAGGAGAAGAGAGTAATTTAGTGTGTGGATGGGGCAGGGCATGTAAGGTTTTCGGGCTGGGTGCTGAAGTTCATGGTACTGTTCTATTTGCTTTTGTGTATAATGGAAATTCTCTATAATAGGTACTTTTTAAAAGTATGTTCTGACAAGTTTCACACAGAGCTTGTTAAATTTCATTATTATTTAGCACATTATCAAATTCTAGGAATATTGAGTATTAATAATTGACAGATAGTGCTGGTATTCCAGAGCAGATACACTGAATTCACCAAAAACTGCATTTAAGATATTTTTGTTTTATCAATATACTGAAAGGATTAAGTTCAATAAGTATTCTATTACATACCACAAAACCTAGACTTCTAGCTAGTAATCATAAACAGGACAACATGTTACCCCATAACTTCTTCCCTCATGGAAGACAGCATCTACTTCAGCTACACAATTCTTACATGTAAAAATAAGCAATAATAAGCCAGTCTGCCTTCTGTACCTAATAATTAAAGTAGCAGCAGTTTTGAAGTATCATATTCTGCTGACAAGTACACTACCTCAGCAGTACACATGAAGTGGCACGAAAGACAATTCGCTACTACATTGATTTGTGAAAGATACAGAACTCCGCACAAGATAAAACTACTACTGATTAAATAGTTCACAAGGAAGGAGAGGACACAAAACCTACTCAATTCTCTCAGCAACCATCAGCTTCCAGTAGCATTTACAAACAGCTTAGACCTTCATAACCATCATGCCTCATGCTTTACCTTTTCAATTTTCCTTTGTCTCCTGAAGGACAAAAATCATATTCAATGTATTAAATGTTCTACCTATTACTGACTTAATCACTAGCTATTAAAATTCCCTTTCAGAAGAGAAGCTTTAAAAAAAAAAAAAAGCATTGCCTAATCATATGTAGGATACTTTCAAGCATATAATTTATAAATCAATTAAATATCTTAATATACTGTACCTTACAAGTAGCAGAACAGAATGGTGCTAAATCGAGCGTAAGTGGAAAATCTACATGTCTGTTTACCTTACGAAGACTCAAGCCAGCCTTAAAAAGAGCAAAACATTTTTGAAATGCAACAATTAGATCTAAAGCACTATGTTTGTTAAGTAAAACCAAAAGAGAAATTGTAGTTTTCTCACAGATAAAAAATGTGACTAATTGTCTAAAATTGATATGACTAAATTTAAAATTAGGTTTCATAAATTGTTACTACAAAGATTATTCATTCATGTGGGGATTTTTACCACACACAATAAGGGGAATAGTTATTTTCATTGTGGCTTTTCAACACTTATAGAAAAATAAATTCAGTATGATAAAAGCTAAGCTACTGACACATATGCTATCATGAAAATATAGTCAACTAAACAGTAAGGAGAATGTTCTAGGCCTAACTCAGTGACTGGTTGTCAACTTGATTCCAGGTATAAAAGGATGAGATTAGGTCCTTTTCAGCTCTAAAATTCGATAATATTCATTCATTAAAACAAATAAAAAATGTAAACACTCAAAACATTTTATCAGTAAAAGTAAATGCTATATATCACATAAATAAAATGTACTTTTATGTTCTTAAAAGCTCTCTTTTTCTATTTTTAATTTGCAAAGGCAAATCTTAAAAAGTGTATGCTTTGCATTATGTAATGGTAATAAAAACTAGCTAATAAACTATCGAAAGTATTGAGTAGGAGACCTATTAAATAGAAATAGACTCTGCTGGAATGAGAAGATACCTAAATCTGAATTGAATGGGTAGACAAAAACTAAAAGATGCAACCTTTCATGACATCAATGACTGATATTTTATTTGCATACTAATCACAATTTTACTATAGATCTGTTGCCTTTTTTATTGCTTACCTTGCTTTAAAGACAAAAAAATTCTTATTTTTTGCCAAAGTATATCCACTTACTGATTTGTTTTTTCAAGTGATCTTTAGAAGGCTTAATAGCCGACATGAAATTATGAGGTCATATCCCAGGAATATTTAATCTACATTCAATTTCTTTACCTTTTTCATCAGGTGACCTCTATAAGGACCCAATAACCAGCACTGTCTGAGATCATTTCAGGCTAATGTGTTCTCCTCAAGCCGCACTACTTTGCTGTTGAGAAATTACCCCCATCACATAAGAGACTGTGTGAAGGACTTTAAGATGAATCTTTTTCTGGGGGTAATTTTTGGAAAATATCTAGACTTATATTTGCATATACAGTCTCCTGTCTTTTTCCCTTTAATGGAATGATACACTGCATTTTCCTCATTAAAATATAAATTTGATGTACTGCACACTGGAAACAAGCTAGGACTTACCTCTGGCATGATCTATGAGTGGGACACATACATTTTTGTGTGTATCTCCATTTTCTTGTGGTAGGTTCTTACTTAGTCAAGAGTAATTAGCTTTGTTCAAAAATTGTTAAAACATTACTTGGCTGGGCACGGTGTTTCACACCTGTAATCCCAGCACTTTGGGAGGCCGAGGTGTGTGGATCTCCTGAGGTCAGGAGTTCAGAACCAGCCAGACTAACATGGTGAAACCCTATCTCAACTAAAAATACAAAAATTAGCTGGGTGTGTTGGTGGGCACCTGTAATCTCAGCTACTCAGGAAGCTGAGGCAGGAGAATCGCCTGAACCCAGGAGGTGGAGGTTGCAGTGAGCTGAGATCGCACCATTGCACTTGAGCCTAGGTGACAAAAGCGAAACTCCATCTCAAAGAAAAAAAAAAAATTACTCAATGTTCTTCATATCCATTACTAAATTACTTTCTGGCAGGTGTTACCAACGTACACTACCAATGCTGATAAATGAAAATGTCTCTATCTCACTTCGTCCTTATCAACACTACTATATCTTTACTAATTTGGACAGGTTAAAAAAGAATCTGTCATTTTATCTGGCCTTTCTTTTGCTGAGAAGGATGGACCTTTTTCTTTTCTTTTTTTTTAATTTCAGAGTTTTATTGTATTGCACTAAAGGAACAGCAGGATGGTTATACAATTTTCTCTTTCATTCAGTTTTGAAAATCTAAAGTACCTGGAAATTCTTAAGAATACCTTTACCACCAGATTAGAACAGTAAGCATAATAACCAATTTCTTAATAAGTAATGTCTTACAAATAAAAACACATTTAAAATAGCTTTAAATGCATTCTTCACAAGTAATTCAGCATATATATTTTATATCATGTTTACTTATGCTTAAGAATTAAAGCAAGTATATTTATCACTCTGATGGAAATATGGGAAATCTCTCATTCATGCAATATACAGGGATAGTATCAAGTCGAAGGGAAAAATCCCACTTTTTATTTTTGTAAATGTTTCCATATATAATCATCTACATGACAGATGAGAAAACCCAAGAAGTTTCCCACTAGTCAGATATACATTTTCAGTTCATCAGAAGCACCTGATATCTACAACTAATTTATAATTAATACTGTTTCAATGAACCCAAAATGAGCCCTACAAGTTCCTATAAACAAAAACTTCCAAAGTACTAGGACAGTCAGTAAGTAATGCATCATTCAGAGGATTATGGCTATTCTTTAAGAAGTGCAAGTTCAAACCTGTCAATACCAGAGGTAATCATTTTATATTAATTTATATGTAATTCCATTTAAATTCTTTATCTGAATATAACATATGAAAACAGTCTTTCCACAAGCAAAAAATGTGGAAACATTTAAAAAATAAGGAGTCATTTTTAAAGTAACTGATCCGATTCCACAGGCTACTCTTGGAAACAGGATCTTGCTGGATAGAATCTCTTCATGTGGTGGCTTTTTGCATGCACTTAACTGGACCAATTCTTCTGTGTGTTGTTCTAAGAGCTCACCAAAACATAGATCATGCCATATAGGTAGTTAAAAAAATGCTAGAAGATAAAAAGCTAATTTACACCATCCTTCCTTCTGACAATATGTTAGAATATCTGCATTCATGATGGTTGTAGGATCACAGAGTCCTGGTCCACTCATCACTGGTCTACTCATATACTTCCAAATATGATATGCCAAGAGGGGCATATTGAGACCCAGTGTAAGCCACTCTGCTGCACAAAGAAACATGACACAGAAGAAAGCATGGATGAGGTACTCTGGGAGTACAAGGGAATTCAGGGTATTACACTGGTCTGTAGGATTCTTGTTATCTGTCTTCAGCTCATCAAATGCTGTAATGTGCCAAATGGCAAAGAAGATGAGTGCGGCAGTGAGCAGCAGCGCTAGCATGTAGCAGAAGGCCGCGAACATGAACGCCATGGCCGGGGAGGAGGCAGGATGGACCTTTTTCATACTTGCCTAGACTTTGGACTTCTAGAACTGTCAGTTGATATTCTTTTCCCATTTCATTATTAGGGTCTGATAAGTTTTCTTACTGATCTTTAAGACTTTATATACTTAAAATATTAAAAATTTGGCATTTTTATGACAAAGATCTCTATCCAGTTTCAGATTTGCCTTTAAGTGTTGTGGCTGTTTCTGATATACAGCTCTAAAGTTACCACAGAGAAGGCTTTCAAGGATGTCAATAAACTAGAAACACAGGCATTGCTTAGGGACTCTGCTCCCTACAATGTCCAAACCCTGGGAATAAGAATGTAGCTTTGCTGACATTACATTTTAAATGGATGATCATAAATATTTCCCAGGGCATGAATTATTTCTGTAAGTTGTTTCCAAACAGGGATGCAAGTACCAAATATAAAATAACTGCGGTGCATCATTAAATTAGCTTCTGCAATCTGGCATTATCCTCTCTTATACACACAGAATCACTGCAGATGTACCCTTTCCATTAGACACTCTGACATGATGGGACATTAATGCATCTGCTTCTGTTCTCTGTGCCATTTCAGTTCCATTGAGTTTCTATAGCCTTGGCTATAGAGGAATCCAGAACTTAATCTAATCTGTGGATAGGGATGGCAGTACAGAGAAAAATCTCTTCTGGCACATCTGGATCCCACTTAAAATGGTGCAAATATGTAAACTATCAATAGTTTTCCTTGGGATTTCCTTTTTAGGTTTTATATTTAACTTGACACAGAGATCAAGCTAAATATTGACTGAAGTTTTCTCCTTGTTTTCTTGATAATTTGTTTTATACAGTTACAATTTTTATTTAAAAATAGTATGGGCCAGGCATGGTGGCTCATGCCTGTAATCCCAGCACTTTGGGAGACCCAGGTGGGTGGATCACTTGAGGTCAGGAGTTTGAAACCAGCCTGGCCAACACAGTGAAACGTCATCTCTACTGAAAATACAAAAACTAGCCAGGTGTGATGGTGGGCACCTGTAATCCCAGCTAGTTGGGAGGCTGAGGCAGGAGAATTGCTTGAACCCAGGAGTTAGAGGTGGCAGTGAGCTGAGATCATACCACTACACTCCAACCTGTGCAACAGAGCAAGACTCTGTCTCAAAAAAAAAAAAAAAGGAAAATTAAGAAAATGAAACTAGTATGGACAGACGGTGTAGAGTACAGCTCTAAATGTTTTATTTCCTAAAACAGCAATTTTTTCCTAAGTCCTTTACAAAAATCAATCCAGCCCTCTTTCCCAATTCTTCCTTTATCATAATGTAATAGCTTTAAATTATACTATTATACTCGTTTTACTTCTTGACAATTCCAACCATATTCTTTCAATTAGTTTTAGTTTTAAGGGTATAAAAAATAACTTCTTAAAAATATTTTAGTATTTTCATTCATTCTTCTAGAGAAATAAAAATCTCATAGAAACAAGGCACTGGATTCAAACTGTAAGTAACTAAAGAAAAACCTGACACATTAAAAATATTTAGATTGCCACCCACTGTAGGGTCCTTTTGCTATGGTGCCTGCCTTGGAGCTCACTTCTTTCAACCTTACCCAACTCTCCCAGTCTAAGCACCCCTCTTCAGTGAAATCATGAAAGCTCAGAAAGTCATATGCACTTTGCTACTTGCTTTTAAATATTCATAAAATATTTTTTCTTTTTTGGTTTTTGAGATAGAGTCTCACTCTGTCACCCAGGCTGGAGTGCAGTGGCACAATCTCAGCTCACTGTAGCCTCCGCCTCCCAGGTCCCAGAGAGTCTCCTGCCTCAGCCTCCTGAGTAGCTGGGTGTGTGCACCACCTTGCCTGGTTAATGTTTGTATTTTTAGTAGATTCAGGGTTTCACCATGTTGGCCAGGCTGGTCTCGAACTCCTGACCTCAGGTGATCTACCCACCTTGGGCTCCCAAAGGCCATGGGAGCCACTGTCCCCAGCTAAAAAACTTATTTTCTATTAACACACAAACACACACAGAGATACCATTTAGGTTCCTACTGCCTAAATTTTCAAATATTGTGAAACAGTTTTAATCAGGAAAATCTTGTAAACTATTATGGTTAGACTAGCAGTAAATCTCACATAACATTTTAAAATTCAGTAAGTTAGTGGTTACTGTGTAATCCTTGACAATATTCTACAGAATTCAGAGCTCTGCGAAACACACAAAAAAAATTATTATGGCGCTACTGAAAAAACTTACCTGATGAAATCTTTTCAGATGGAGAATTAGGACAACTGGAATAGCAGAAATGAGTAGTTGCTTTCTGGCGTTAGTATAAACTCCTTCTACTTTCTTTTCTACATAAAATACAATAAATTTATAAAATTACATTATGTACCATATAATAAACATTTATATAGAAGCATCATACCACATTTTTTTTTCTTTTTTTCCTCCTTTCACCATGTGACCACAGTTTTTAAAATGTTAAAGAAATTGGACTTCTGATGAAAGGGCAGTCTTGACTCCTTCCCAAAACTCTACTAAAATGAAAGTAAAGGAATTTTTCTTTTTAAGGCACACAGTTAATAAGAACAGAGAATAGGAGAGGTAACACTTGCAACAAAATTTGGAAGGTGGAAAGCAGATGGACTAGAAGTAATTTGGGTCAATGTTCTCCAGCCAAAAATCATGAGAAGCATGGGTGTAGTTGAAGAATTTGGGTTTAGAAAAGATTTCTAAGTTTCTTTTTTTTTTTTTTTTTTTTGATACAGGGTCTTGCTGTTACCCAGGCTGAAGTGTAGGGCAGTGGTCATGGCTCACTAGGGCAGTGGTCATGGCTCACTGCAGCCTTGACCTCCCAGGCACAAGCAATCCTCTCACCTCAGCCTTTCAAGTAGCTGAGACTACAGGTGCACACTACCCCACCTGGCTAATTTAAAAAAAAAAATTTTTGTAGAGATGGACTCTCACTATATTCCTCAGACTGGTCTTGAACTCTTGGCCACAAGCCTTGGCCCTCCCAAAGTCTTGGGATTACAGGCGTGAACCACTATGCCCAGTCCCAATTTCTAAATTCCTAAGATTTAGGATAGTATTTGAACATGGCCATTTGTATTTGAACATGGCCAATTGCATATTTAACTTGGATTAATGTAAGTAGGTATTTATTCCTGCTCTCATCTTGTTATTTCTTTATTACTAGCATATACAGTATGTCTTTATTCTGATGCTTTGACATCTAGGGTCTTGTTAACATTGGAGGGACAACTCCTCCCAGGGCTAATTCCTAGAGATAGTAAACAATATAAGTATGCCTTTCATATGCAAACTAATCCAAAGCCCAGAGCCCATACCCCAACAACTTCCTGCACTGGGCTTTTACACTCTGGGGCACTATCCACCTGGTTTAATCACTCTAGGAACACATACCAGATAACTAGAGACAGTTCCTATATCCCAGAGCCCACTAAAATTATTCGAACTAGCCAATCCTAAGCCTGCTTACCCTGCCTTATCCATTCATTTCTTCAGAAATCACACCAAAGGCTCTTACCCATGTTTTCCCCCCACCTGCTGACTTACACTGGTGCTTCCCTATGTGGTCCTGTGCAGGACAGTGGGCCACTACTTCTTGGGAACTGTAAGTAACACACTATTTTTTCAGTGGCAATTATCTCCTGATCTGTTAGCCTCACCATACCTGAATAATAAAGCCTACATTTTAAAACAAGTAGTCACTAAGAATCGGAGTATTCTTTCCATTTATTCAAGGATAAAGATGAACTGAAAATTTATTTTCCCTTTTTTCCCCCTTTTCTCTGACCAACTAATTATAGTAATTATAGCGCTAGTTTCATGACATGTGACTATTTAAGATCTTCAAAATGTGTCTGTTGAGTTTACAACAGATTGATAGGATCTGTGAAACACATTAGCCTCATCATTAATCTCACTAGTGATACTATTAAAAGTCTTAGGGATATTTCTTCCGGATAGATTTCAGACAGCTACTTCCCTCAAATAAGATGAAATGGGTTTGCATTTTCAATGCAGATCTGTATATTTCCTGCTCTTCGATTTATTTAAACAAAAAAATGAAAATCTGTTCTGCCCAGTGAGTATTGTTAAGTGCTTAGGTACAAATATGAGTAAAACAATCTCTGTGCCTAAGTAGCACAAGTATAGAGACAATATTCTCAGGTTCCTCTATTTGAAATTTGTAATTAACTAGACTATCAGGAAATCAATAATCATTTAATTAGAAAACAGTTACCTGCTAAACTGGTTTCCTCTTGGTACTTCTGTTTGTTTTCAGTACAATTCTCACATAGAAGTTTATTATTCCCTATGAGTAATTCCATAGATGTAAACTGGTAGAGACAGGACTGAACTGAACATTCTTTAGAAGCAGTTATATAGCTCTGAGAAAGGGTCTGAAAAGCATTTTGGGGACTTTGGGACCTCAAATGCTTCCCCTCTGAAAAACATAAATTATTTGAAATATTTAGTGGCTGATTTTCTCGGACAAAATCTTGATCTCCAGTTACAGTGCTGCTCAAAGAAAGTTCAGAAATAGCTTCAGACATTTCCTTATCACCACTGTCAGTCTCCTTGGTGTATAGCATTTCACCTGCTGATGGAGGGTAAAGGGGTCCATCTGTATGCACACCGGATCCACTACTGGATCTGAACAGCCCTGGCTGCTTTGAAGCACCTTCAGATTCTGAAGCCTCACTGTCGGCATCAACATTGCTTTCAGAATGGCTGGCTTCTTTTTCACTGTCATCAGTTGGGCTTTCATTCAGAGGTGACTCAGAATTCATGAGGCTTGCAAACATTAAAGAATCCTCATTCATTTCAAGGTTTTCATTTTTCTGGTATATGACAACAGTTTCTCCAGACGACAATTTTTTAATACGTTTTCGGTCATGAATTAGTTGATTCTGTAAGTTGACAGTGTTTTCAAAAAAAGAATCTTGTAACTTTATTGAAAATAAATGCCAACAAGTCTCATTTAAACATACCATAGTTATTAAATACCATTTCTCTCAGATCCACTTCCTAAGCCTACTGAAACTAAGATAAATAGAAGATATACTAAAAAATGGTTCTATTTTAAAAGTAAATCTTCATGCAAGAAACTAACAACAGTTTAACAGTGGCTATCTCTTTGTGGGGAAGGAAATAGGACTTTTGTAGAACAGGGTTATGAAGGAGACATTTTTCTTAAAAAAAAAAAAAAATCTTTTAGAAACAGGGTCCTGCTCTGTTGCCCAGACTGGAGTGCAGGGCACAATCACAGCTCACTGCAGCCTCAAACTCTTGGCCTCGAGTGATCCTCCCAACTTAGCCTGCCATGTAGCTACTACTACAAGCATACACCACCACACCTGGCTAATTTTTTAATTTTTTGTAGAGACAAGACTATATTGCCTAGGCTGGTCTTGAATTCCTGGCCTCAAGCAATTCTCCCACCTTGGCCTCCCAAAGGAGACTTTCAGTTACTGTATAAGCCTTTCCGTACTTGTTCATTTTAAACACTGAAAATGTACAATCTATTTTTTAAACCAATTAAAAAGTAACAAAAGTAAACTACAAACTATTACAACACAGTGTTGCTTGGTTGCCAAAAATTTTGTAGGGAACCAAAAAGAGCCAGAAGAAAATTACAGAATTAAAATAATCTAAGTTTGGGAAAGGGGGAATTAACTAATTTAATTAAAGATTTTAAGCTACTCAAAATGTTTCACTAAGTTTCTACATAGCTGAAGGCTTGAATTACATTGTTCTTTCCCTATAGATTGGCTTAAGGGTCAAGATAAAAAAATAAAAGACTATCATGAGTAATTAATACTCACTTTTAGTTATTCAGGGGAAGAAGGGTAAGTTATAAGAAGTGTCTTGCCTCAATTTTTATCTTCAAAATGAGGAAAAATAACATTATCTCCTGTGTTTACCAAGTATTCTGAACTCATTGAACGAAAATAAGGTATTTATTTTCACCATATATTTGGTATACTAGAGAGCATATGATGAGTAATAAAGCTTATGGTAACAGCCAACAAGTTCTACTCTGCTAAATTTAAATAGTACTTTTTTGGGAAAAAAACCTTTCCTATTTTATATATATAAAATACTAATGGTTAAGAAGCCCTAGCCAAAGCAATCAGGCAAAAGAAAGAAATAAAAGGCATCAAAATTGGAAAAGAAGTCAAATTGTTCCTCTTCACAGACGACATAATCTTACATATAGGAAAACCTAAAGACTTCAACAAAAACTCTTAGAACTGATAAATAAATTGAGTTAAGTTGCTGGATATAAAATCAACATACAAAAATCAGTAGCGTTTCTATACACTAACAAACTAGCTGGGAAAAAAAAAATCAACAAGGCAATCCCATTTATAATAGCTACAAAAGAAAAAATAAATCCCACCGAGGAATAATTTAGCTAAGGAGGTGAAAGACCTCCACCAGGAAAATTATAAAATACTGATGAAAGAAACTGAAGGAGACACAAACAAAAAAAGCATCCCATGCTCATGAATCAGGAAAATATTGTTAAAATGACTATGTTACCCAAAGCACTTTCTAGATTTAATGAAATTCCTATCAAAATTCCAGTAATGTTTTTCATATAAAGAGAAAAAAATTCATAAAATTTGTATGAAATCTGGCCAGGCGCAGTGGCTCACACCTGTAATCCCACCACTTTGGGAGGCCAAGGTGGGTGGATCACCTGAGGCCAGGAGTTTGAGACCAGCCTGGCCAACATGGTGAAACCCCATTTCTACTAAAAATATAAAAAATTAGCCAGGCATGATAGTGGACGCCTGTAATCCCAGCAACTTGGGAGGCTGAGGCAGGAGAATCACTTGAACCTAGGAAGCAGAGGCTGCAGTGAGCTGAGATTGCACCACTGCACTCCAGCCTGGGCAACAAGAGTGAAACTCCATCTAAAAAAAATTTTGTATGGAACCAAAAAGAGCCAGAATCACCAAAGCAATCCTGAGCAAAAGAACAAAGCTGGAAGCCTCACACTAATTGACTTCAAAATATACTACAAGGCTACAGTAACTACAAAAGTACAGCCATCATTGAAAACAGTATGGAGATTTCTCAAAAAAAAAAAAAAAAAAAAAAAAAACTAAAATAGGGCAGGGTATGGTGGCTCATACCTGTAATCCCAGCACTTTGGGAGACTGAGGTGGGTGGATCACATGAGGTTAGGAGTTCAAGACCAGCCT